GGGGGTCAAAGGAAAAATCCTGGGAAAATTTCCAGAAAAACGAAACCAAACCGTAATTTTAAACTTGTTGTCACCTGACGAAACGGTAGAAGATGAGGATGAGGAACTTGACGAGCCCCTTCCGGAAGCCCACTTGCTTCTTCTTGTGGACGGCACCCGAGTGTGGGGCCACCTTGGAGGTCGGCGGGCCTCCGCTCTCCAGCGCGGTCCTGGAGGTCGCCCTGAAGTACAGGAAGGCCGCGAGCACACCACTGCGCGAGAGACAAGGGAACCAGTCAGAACAACGCCAGGAGGACCTCGGCGGCCGTGCGGTGCGCAGGGGAAGGGGGAGGGTACCTGATGAAGAAGAAGGTGTCGACAGAGAAGGTGGCGTTGCTGACGGTCTGGAACATGAAGTTCCTCTCGGTCACGGTCCGCAGCGTCTTGTTCTCTGTGGGGCGCAGACGTGCACATTCAGATCGGGGTGGTTCGCAAAACGGGTGCGGAGAGTACTTTCTCGGTGCATGTGCTCACCAGCGATGGCGAACACCTGCAGGTACGTGTGCACCAGGATGACCCAGGCCAGCGAGAAGAAGCGGAGGCCGTGCACCGCCGTCAGCGCGTCCTCGTCCTGCTGCTGGCAGTTGAGGATCTTGGCGCCGTTGGAGAGCGGGGAGAAGGCGAGGACGATCTGCACCATCACACCTGCTCACGATCAACAAGGATAGAGATGATTACGGGTTCCACGGAGCGGATGCGGACCTCCGTGAGGGCACAGCGTGCTGGTGGAGGACGCTCGAGAACGCTCGTCTGTAGAGCTCAGGGGGGCCTTTTCAAACGAAGAAAATTAGTGGCCGCGCAAGTTGCTCGTAGCTTTGGAGTTGGAATTTACGTTCGGTTACGAAACCACAACTTTTCTGAAGAATAGTCTGATTTCCGCCCTACGAAGCTAAACCAGTTGTTTGACTTGAACCCGTCCTAGGAACGCCCGTCGAGGTGTAGCCGGGCTCGATGTGCAGGGCCAGGGCGCGGTGCATTGCAGCCGCTTCCTCGAGCCGAGCTCGGTGCTCGGCTGTCGCATTGTGCAACGGCCGTACCGTGCCGCGGGGCGGGGCGGCACTCTCCATAAAGTGTTCGCTTAGAAAGTATTTGCAAATAAAGGGGTGAGGGGGGGGGGAGTCGCCGTTGTGCCACAAGCACGTGAGGGGGGGGGGGGGTTAAGCATAGGTTCGTCGATAGCGGGCGGAGGTTCCCTCTCGTGGCTTTCCTCAAGGCAAGTGCGAGTTGTAATTCTTTCGGACGGTTGTGATCGGAGACTGACACTACATGGGTAGGATTACTTCCCCAGGGGAATGAATGAGGTGGAGGGGTGCTGTGCGTAGCTGTGCTGGCCGGTGCTTGCTCCTCACCTGGCTTGTAAGCCTCCTTATGCGCCGAGCCGCTGGTCAGCGCGCCGCCCTTGGAGGCCCGCTCCTGCATCTCCTGCTGGCCGCCTGCCCTGCCGCCTTGCTGCTGCTGCTGTTGCTGCTGGTGCTGCTGCTGCTCCGAGTCGGAGCGGCCGTGCTGGCCGGTGCGGTTGGTCACCTCCTCCAGGACGGCACCGGCGAACATCAGGATGACGATGGCCGCGGAGACTCCCCTGCGGAGCGCACGGTAAGGACGAGATGGTGAGAATGGATGACGAAAGCAGGTGACTGCAT